GCAGACGCACGTGCGGCCAACAACAAGCGCTGGTGGCAACGCTGATTGAACCTACCTGCCACAGTGTGGAAGCCAATTCCACAGAACCAAGTCCTGAGCATGCCAAGGTGGAATGGCCTGAGTATGCTGTTGATAGAGCCCAAATGGGGTTCTATAGGCTTGGCCCCATGCCACAAGTCGAAAGTGCAATTCCCAGTTGATGATGGAAGCAATGTACAGCGAGGAAAGGTATACGATGTCACAAGCATGTAAACAGGTACGTCAAACCAATGCAACCCTCTTCGTCGGGCATCCAGTTGCACTGGGAGGATGCCCCCCTGCTGAAACCAAACGCAGAAAAGCTCGCACTCAGTCAAGTCATGTCCGCAGACAGCCCTTAGTTTAGCTGTCAAGGTGTAACAACAACAATAATAATAACAACAACAACGACAACGACAAGAACAAGGAACGAACAAAAACAGGAGCCCCGTCCGCACAACAATTTCTTGCTTTTGTCTCTTCTGCAAAACTGGAGACAAAACCTGGTGCCCCGTATGTTGTTCTGACGGGGCGGGGTTGTTGTTCCCCTTTCCCCGTTTTGTTTGTCTCTTCTATGGGACTTGAGACAAAACCTGGTGCCCTGTGTGTTGTTCTGACGGGGGGGCTGTCGTGTACATTTGTAGAAGAAACAAAGCCTGGTGCCCCGTGTGTTGTTCTGGGGCGGTGTTGTTCTGGGGGCGGGGGTGTTGTTCTGGGGGGGGGCTGTTCCGGTGGGGCGGGGAGCAGTTGTGGGTGAGCAACAGCAACAGCAGCTGCAACAGCAGCTGCAACAGCAGCCGCAGCCACGGCAACAGCAGCAACAGCAACAGCAGCAGCTGCAGCAGCGGTTTTTCAACGTAAAAATAAAGAACCCAACGTGCAAGGAGTAGCACAAAACCTTGCGTCCAGCCGTGGAGCATTCGCTGTACCATCGTCAGGTGGGCTGTTCTCAACCTCTGCGTATGCCTGGCAAGTTGCTAGGTCCAGGTGTCTCAGGCTTACGGTTCGGCCCGCCCCATGGATTGCGCCTTTCTCGGTCTATTTTGAATTGTTCGGCTTCCGGTTTGGGAGTTCTAGCTCGAAGGGTACCTTTGACAGGCAAGGATGTGTAGAGGCACATATTACAAAGCTGATTAACAGGCTTTAGGCAAACCCGGTGTTTCGACAAGCTTGGTGATTTGGTGTGCGTCCATCCTAATGCCACAGCAGGTCGGGCACGGGCACATACCCAATCCAACAGTTTAAACTCCTGATCCTTGTTAGGAATGACGGAGCTCCACTGGGCCTCACAGGCCTTGGAAACCTTGACAGGTCAGGGTCTTACAGCATGTAGGGTTACGGTCAACTACAGCAGACTAAAGCCGCAGCAGCGTCAAGGAAACTCGCGAAACATAAACCCCCAGCCCATCACGAGGTGGCCTCCTGTCGTGAAATAAGGAGGAAGCGGCATGCTGGTGCCGAGAAGAAGAGGCCTCCACTTTGTAGTTGAAGCCAGCATGCGGGCAGTCTAGCTGGAATCCAGGGGCTGTAGCAAAGGTTTGAATCGCTTGCTGTCGCATATGGGTTGTGGCGAGCACTTGGAGGTTTTGGGAATGGGGTTTAACTGGTGGCGAGTAGAGGTAACAGCACGTTAAGAGCCATGCAAAGGACGCCCTTCAAGGAGGCGGTTCAGCAAAATACCACTGATGCCGGCCGGCCTGGCTCATCGGCCTTACCAGGGCAGGTTTGCAGTGACGACAGAGAATCTTGGTGAAGGAACCTACATCGAAGATCCTGCAGCCTGAGCCAAAGGCCTAAAGCTAATGCCACTCTGTGGCCTTGGGTCCGTCTTAGCTTGTGTGTACCCAGAACTCAAAACGTCACAATAGAGCTTGCTGTGGGCATGGTGAACATGAGCCATGCTTTGCCACATTTCCAAAATCCTAGACAACCCTGAACATTCAACTCCTCTTCTGGACCGCTGCGTGCTCAACATGCCCGGACTGCCATCCCTGGTTCCTTAAAGCCCGAAGTTCAACGCGGTTTTGTGGAATGAAAACATGAATGTAAGTGGATACCACGACCAACTGCCCTCAAGCACTGCAAACCAATCGTTCAAGCCGACGCTCGCGACTGCAGCATACGATGATGATGGTGGTGATGATGATGATGGCGACGATGATGATGGTGATGATGATGATGATGATGATGATGACGGTGATGATGATGATGATGATGATGATGACGGCGAAGCACGGTTCCTATTGTCAGCATGATGAGTAAATTGGTGGCCTATGGTACCCGTATGACTGATGGCTATTACTGGCACGAGCACGTGGCACTGGCATGTTCATCGCTCTTTTGCTTGCCCTTGTATGTAACGGCTGCAGCAACAACAAAACCACTATTCTTGTGAAGTTCTGGGTCTGAAAGAAAACCGGCAGGACAATGGTTTCTTAGCACAGGCTTTGAAACATCTCAGGGTGGCGCCTCGAACCTCAAGATTTCTCTCCCGTTTTACAAAGGAAGGCGGGTAATACTTTCAATCAGGCTCATCATGGCTCATCCATTTGCACCTCCTCGCACATGTGGCTGGTTCGCCGTCTGCTGCGGCCATGTGGCAGGCCGGCGCCGGATCCTAAAGCCCACAAACTGAAACTCAGAGCCTGAAACCCTGTACCCAGAACCCTTCCTTAGCTTATCCTCTGACTCTGCAGCCCAGATCCCCAAAGCGTGTGGGTCCAGTTGCCTTGCAAGTATGCTGTTGTTTTGACTATACTTATGACTGAAACAACATTTTGGCAAGTCCACCAGATGTTCAATCTTCCCCGGACCTCGTTTGCACCTCTGCCGAACGAACGTTTTGGTGCAGACCTGGAGCATCTCGAGGCGACCGGGGCAGTTTCAGTAGCAGCAGCGGCAGCAGCAGCCGAACTTAAGGCATCAGGTTACGGGACAGACGACTAGCCTGTGCCAAAAACGATGTGAGAGGTGACATGATCGGAAAAGCTTCGGAACCAGGCCTTGGGCTCAAGCTGAGGCTGAAGAGCTGTTTGTATGCGAGGCAGAAGCCACGATTTCGTCTGCCTGTAGTAACGTTGCCACCGTAGGGCTGCTCGAAAGCCTGCAACCGGTGTCCTTAAAGCAACGGCCCAACTCCCAAACCCAACATTTCACGAAATGCCGGCTCAAGTATACACATGTCTGAGCAAAGATGCAGGCATGAGAACACCAGTACATAAAGCTTACCACGAGTTCAAACGTGGCATCGTTCATAAAAGTCATGGGATAGGCATGAAAACCACATGCACACATAGGACAAGGTAAACCCATGATTCTATCGGAGTCTCTGGGCGTCAGTCAAAAGCCCAGAAGAGAGAAATGAACTGACGCCCACATGCAGAGGAGCAGGTAAATAATTCAATCGACAAGTAACAATAATATACATATTTGCTACACAACGTCACGAGGGTTGTTCTATATCCTTGTTCCATGCATGGCGCTTCGCCCTTGCGGGTGCTTGCGTGAGTGTGGATTTTGAAGACGCGGGTCTGTTATAGTTGCTTGTTGGCCTTTGGTGGCTTCGAGTCTAAGCTTCGGCTGCGGGTAAAACACGTGGGCTTCAAGGCTAAAGAAGTTGGTTTTAGAGGCTTCGTTAAACTCTCAAGCAAACCCCTACACCACCCCATGTCCTGTGGTTGCATCTACCTACAACGCTGCTGAGTATCACTCTTGAGTCAACCTTAACAACAAGCCTTGAGCATAGCTTGCGCTCGCCCTCGCACAACCTTGCCCGCGATCGATAAGGTGTGCACTTTTAAACGACCGAGTTCTCGCTAATCGCCCTCGTAGTCTTGTCAGAAGAACCCACCAAAAGGAACCACGCCATGGTGTCTCTGTTTTCTGTTCATGTACACACACACACGGTTTCATATGTGCAACAGACGTACACACACACACACATGTGCGTATCAATATACATCGGCATCGTTATGTATCTATGGTATGTATGTCATTATGTATGTATGTATGTATGCGCGAAGGTGTGTATGCATGCATGCTTGTACGTATGTATGTATGTATGTATGTATGTATGTATGTATGCATGTATTCATGTCTGTGTGTGTATTTCTGTTTATCCGCGCGTATGTTTGTAAGTATGCATGCATGCACGTGCATGTGTGCATGTGTGCATGCAAGTACGTATGCATCTATGTATGTATGTGTGAATGACTGTATGTATTTTGATGTAAGTATGTAGGTCAAGTATGTAAGCATGTACGTATGCATGCTTACAGAGTCTGCGTGTTTGCAGCCACGCATGGTTGTCAAGCACAGCATGACATGTTTAGGGGATTCTCTTTCAGATATGCAGCTATCAAGCGCGGCCTGGCTCGAAACTCTACATTTTGGACGTCGGGGTCGGATCCTCATGCGCGTGCGTCCTAACAGCTACACCCTAAGCTTAGGATGTTCCCCCTCGCAACAACGATTCCGCCCTTTGCAGGGCTTTGCAATGCCGGTTCCTGATTATCAAGAGGGAACACCCCAACCCTAAATCCGAAATCCTAGAGGCGGGATGCCGGATTGAGTGCTTCTGCCCTTGGTGTCGAAGAAGGCCTCTGCTGTTCCGATACAGATGCAGGGAACGCCAGGAATTAGATTCAGGTGCAAGCCCTCAGAAATACGTGGACTGAGCAGCTATCAAAATTGTGGCTGTGCAAAGAAAACACGAAGAACAAACTCAGAACTTGGCTCGGGATTGGAGTATACGACGCCATAGCCACAACAAGAGTGGAAAGGACTGACTACTGAAACTGAGTGTTGGAAATCCTTTATCATACAGTCCACGGCAAGTCTTCAGACACCACGAGCTGAGGCTTCGTTATCTGAGCTCTGGCTGCACCGGAGCCTTGCCCTCGTGGCGCATCCGCTGGAGAAGCTTTATGGTTTGAGCTGGGGCACAGGGCTCAGGGCGTAAGGGACTGATTCTGGTGTATGTGCAGGGGATTGATTGCATGGGGCTTCGTTGGCGGTCCGTAAACCGTCATCAAAATCACCACCGCACCCTCACCCTAGCACCACCACCACTAATTACAACCACCACCGCCGCTACGACACCACCAACAACCAGACGCAGACAAGCACCACCCCCGCCGCCACCACCACCACCACCACCACCACCACCAGCTGCCACCACCACCGCCACCGCAGGAGCAGCCGCAGCAAGCAAAAGCACAACTACAACCACGAGCACAACCAACAACGGCGGCAACATAATAACAATAATCATCATCCTCATCATCACAACGATGCTCCTGAAACGTCCTGCACGGCTACTCCTGCGACCTAAGCTCTGACCTTCAACCTCATGCCTCAGCTCTTAGACAGGCTCGGGTGCCCCAGGCATCGGCTAAGGGCCGCGGTGTCGACGGCCGAGAAGCTGAGGGCGAATCAAACCCTAAAGCTTTCCAACAACTTGAATTAATTACCATACCATGCAGCATGATGGTACTATGAACCCTCTCCCCCCCAAAATTGGATTTTGGCTTCCAAGCCCCCGCGACCAGAGATTTTGACTGTAGAGAATGGGCCTGGTGAGGGCACCACCACTGATTTGCACAAAAAAACGAACTCGCATCGCCCCCTCCCTTGGAGGGACCCTCCCCCTTCTGCCTGTGAAGTCAATGACCAACCCGAACGCACGATTGTGCACTTTCATGTCCTCGACTGAATTTTGCATTTTCGCAGGCAATCCATCCACAATTTGTCCCCAATTCGCTCCCGTCCTTCTCGCAGAGTCTGACCTGGCCGAGGCAGACGACGCTAAGCGTTAACAATTCCCATTCAAATAAGACAATGGATTAGACGACGTTGAGTTTTTAACCCCCTCGCCCCCAAGGACCCAAAGAGGAAGCCCGACAAAGAGCAGCCCCTGCTCTTGCGTGGAGTACGCGAGCGGCCACTTGGAAGCACAGATCTTGTCTGCTGCGCCTGTGTGGTAATTGCGCAACCGTTGCAGTATGCTAAGTACTTGTTAGAACAACAAGAACAAGTCCACGAGGTTTCTGGCCCACAGCCCATCTTTGGGTCTTTGTGTGTTGGCCCTGTGTTGGCGAGCAGAGTCGTACGACAACGCAGAGCATCGCAAGCAGCCCGAGTGCTGCCACAGGTTCGAAAGTTGCTCAGACCTCGTAAGACACACCAACGAGAAACCCAGATGCGGGTAAAGGGCAAGATGTCGAAACGGCCCAACTTTTATCATTATGTCGTTTCGGACACGGTGCCTAGATCACGAACGGTTCAGGTAGATGGCATGCTAATGGTGTAAGTTGCGAAGCCCTGAACAAGGCACGAGTTCGAGCTGGCTTTCGAACCTGTGAATTGCATCAGTTGGCGGGCCATCCGATGATGCTACCCGCCAAGCGGAAACCGAAGGCAACCTAGACTCTAGACGTTCAGTCTGCATGGAGCCTCGAAGATCGACTTCATTAAAGCCACCCGCTTAAAAACGTACAAGAACTGCGGCCCGGATTGGCAACGTATGTCTGTCAAGGTCTGCTCTTCCCTGTTGCACCGTGCTTTCAGGCAGCGAGTAGTTTCAACGACCTCATCACCTCTTCGGAAACTGTGCGACAGGTGCTCTCGGGAATTGAAGGTCAGTGGCTGCATTGAAATGCCGAGGTTGTATGCGTTTAGTAGGCTGCTCTTCGGCACTTTCTTTTTCGCGC